GGTGCCAAACAATACAAATACTAAGATATGTTTGGGTGTGAAATAACATGTTTGCCATGAAGATAAATTTCGGGAACACTGGCAACATTTACCAACATGCGAGCTAGGCTAGGCAGGTGGGGCAAATTGATTCGGATTCCAGTTTGGGCGCTTGAGGAAGCCCATGCAAGGCTCCCACAGGAGCCGCAAGCTTCCTAAATTAGGGACCTCTGCCGCCCGTTCCAGTTGGGCCCACCTCCCTTGACGGGAGACCATGGAACCAGAACTGATGGACCGCTTGTTTTTTTGGCATGGGCCCCGGGTGCACCTACTTCTGATAGCCAGCTTGACAGAAACCTAACACGCACCGAAAGAGGGGTCAAATAGTTTTAACATTGAGAACGATTCGTTCAATCATGTCCAGTTGGGCAAAGCAACTGCCGCGCCTTTGTGCTTGGTTTCCAGCCAAACAAAGAACTATCTGCAAACAACTCAACCTATAATTCGTATGTGCTCAGCAAATGGGTTCCAACGCATCGGAGGGGCAATCCCAAATCTTGTTTGGCCGTGAAACTTGTTGTTGTTAGGTTCTTCGGATTTCTTCGGCATTTTTCTGAACGCCAAACAAAACAAACACTTTCTGGGCAGGCAGCTGAACAGTGTCCAGACTAGACCGTTTGGGATTCCATCATATTCACATTGACCAGCCACATGCGTATTTCGCAGGGGGCGAGGTCTCAACATATTGCAGCCAAAGTGTTGGTGAGCTTGATGGGAGGTTGAGAAAATACCGAGGGGGTCCCGCTGAGCCTATCCAAAAGTGCCAAACGTGTTCTACGTTTGTTTCTGGGAGAATTGTAGAGCAGTGCAACCTTTAGAGGGTTTCTTTCACACTGAACTTTCGATTTGGGTTGCTGGATTGTGATGGTTCACCCATATGCATGTGCAGCCGTGAGATCCATTGATTGGAGGCTACAAAGCAGCATCAGTGAGATGTGGAGTGGCGGCTGTGAATTTGTGGGTCTGTCTCTAGGCGTTTCGCCCCTGACTCGGAGGTAACCTTGTGCCGCCTTCGAGATTCTCAGAATACGGAAGTTTGAGAGGCTGTCCTGCTTTTTGAGGGCACTACTCTGGGGTTGGATTGCGAAACTAGCGGGTAACCACCCCAGATTGCTCGCATGGCTTGCCCTTGCGCATTGCTGCGTAAGCTCAAGAGCTCCGGGATGGAGGGGACCGTCTTGGTGAACGGGTGCCACCTTATCCCAGAATGCAGCCTGGCTCCTCTCCCTTCTTCAGGCTCCCTCAGCTTCGAAAGTTGCAACCCCCAAAACCTTCAATGGGTCTCTCTCCTTCTCCTTCGCCTCCCTTCAGACTGTTCTCAAAAAAAGGTGCAAGCTCATGTCAATCCTTTTTGTGGGGATGTCCATTGTTGCCTCTTTTTTGCCGTCACATTTTGACTAGGAGCAGACCTTGCGAGATATGAAGAAGCAGGCGCTTGCATGGAGTGGGAATGGGAATCGGAGTTCATTCCGTTGAAATGTGGGTTGTTCCATTGACTACATTTAAGCTGGAATATCATTGGTTTGCCTACACTTGTGTAAAACGTAGACAGTCACAAGCACGTATATGTATCATTCTGCACGTGAACAACGGGCAAAACTACTCGTAGTTTATGATTAGATTGAACGACATGCGAGCGAGATCATCAAGCTGCACAGGAACGAAGGGTTACACAAGGCTATCCAATATGTTGTCACCCAGACGCTCGCAACTGCTTGGGCCTTCCAGGAGCTATTTGAGACCCTTAGGGCGTATGGACGTGTGGGCATGACGGCATGACCATTGATTCTATCGCTTCCCCTTTATACTCACTAACATAGAAGGCTACGTGGGTGGGTTTGGATAATCTTTGTCTAAAACGGGACCTTCGCGGAGTTGCGCGCCCCAATTGGAGATGATATTCCCATCGCCTGAATCTTGGTCTGATCTTGTTCTTCAAGTTACATTGGGGTGAAACTCGAAATCTGAAAAAATCTCCTATTTTGTCCTGGATCTTGCCTGAATCTTGTCTAAAAATCGGATTTCCCAATCAATCTGACCCGGGTGAAAAGGGGATGCGGCTGTCAAAACTGGGTGCGCAAAATGGGGTTTCCTGATGGAACTCGGGACTAAACCCTGCGGTCTGGTTTCATCTCCCCGTCCTAGAACCGAGGCGGCGGCAGGGCCGCTGGACCCGGCCAAACTCTCGCGCCAGGACGGGACTTGTGGAAACCGGTGAAATGGTGTTTGAAACCAACTCCTCCATATTGTAATATATATATATATATATGTATATATATATACAGTGAATCTGTGTGCCTGTTTGTCTGTCTGTGTGTTTTTGAGGGTACCCTGTTTAGGGTGGCTTTAAGGGAACGCACAAGGAAAACCACCATTTTGGCGGTCCCCCTGTTTGGAACTCATTGATTCTTTTCTGGCAGTTCTCGCCCTTTGTTACATGCTCAGAGGTTGACACATCCCACCACAAACATAACTCATTGCAAGGGATCAGCAAACCACTAAGTTTGGGAGACTAGGTGTTTGTGTCAAACATGTTTGCAATGTTCTGTGTCTGCAAGGACATGTGTCTTTTTGGAAGCAAACAGCTACTGGAAACATCCGTTAGACCGCGCAGTCGTATATCTGGGCAAGTCATCAATGTAATTCACAGGGGCCTACCCCTTTGTCAGATGAGCTTCCGCACATGAGGGACGCACATGACACAGTGGAGCAGCCAGCTTATACTACAAGCTTGAGAAGCAATTATAAAGACCGACAAATGCGAATGCCGCTGTCAGATGTTGACCCTGTGGAGGCACATGTGCAACAGTTGTCACTGAGCCAAAGCCCTCCCAGTCCGAAGTCGGTTTCGTCCCGCAGTGATAGCACCGGAGGGGTGGTTGCTGATGAGTCATCCTTTAAAGCAAGCTTCTCTGATATCACACAAGTGGGAGCCACCCCAATGCTACAACCCTGAACAGTCTTGTATTCAACCTCTACTGTTTTAGGCCGTGACTGGTTTAGATCTAGTTGTGAAGCATTTCAATATTGTTTTTGTTGGGTTGTTCCCCACCCGACATGTTTGGGGTTGTGAGACTTTGCGTGGCATTGGACCTTGTCCACCCGCGCTTCCATCCGCATGTCGGCCCGCCGGCCAACAAGCACTATTTCGACAGACTGTCCGTCCACTCACAAGCCAAGACAGCTGCGACAGAGCCTGTGATCGATGGTGACCAGACAGGAACTGATGGCCGACTGTTAAGCTTGAGGCTTCCGCCAGTGGCCAGACCAGGGCAGTCCATGCCCTCAGATTGGTGCAATCTTTGCGTTGGCACAGCTGTGACAGGCCAAAACTTGAGTCGAGCAAAGAATGAAGAAGATTCGAACTAGTAGGCCGCTCCACATCAGGGTAGTCGTGCTTGGACTATAGTTTATTTCAAAAAGGTATGGCGCGCCCAAAAAACCGCAAAACATGTTTTTGCAGGCATACCGAGCTGGCCCACCAAACTGTTGAGCCGCGAACACGATCAAATACAGATAGGCATCAAGTTCCGATCGGGTCTCTGTAGCAATGAAACGCGTCACAAGAACCACCCTGTTCCTGGTTCCTTGCTCCAGGCCGCTTGCGTCTCAGAGTCAAAAGGCTTTGTGCCGGTGGTGCGACCCTGACAAATGCGGGGACCCTCTTCCAGATCCCTTCCCAAGTCCTGTTATTCAATTTAAGGATCGAACGGACCCACGCAAAGCAGTCTAAGAGACCAACAAAAAAGGACCAACACATTTTGCTGGTCCCTTTTTGTTGCTCTCTTAGAGTCCTTGTTGCGGGTCCCTTTACAAGGTAGGGGTCAAACCCTGGCACGGCCCAGGAGGCAGAGGTGCGCAGGGCCTGGGAGCGTATCACAAGGTCCCAGCCTCGACGCGCGACGCGCGGGGAAATGTGTGGGGACCCTTTTGGGAAGTGAGTTGTTGTTTTTTTGTAGGTCCCCCAGTAGTGCCCTTTGACCAACTCTTTTTCGGGAGGGTTCCCCTACTAAAATAGACTACAGAAAAGGGTACCCTTATTCTAACCTCTGTACTGGAGGAACCTAGCTTTAAAATTTGCCTGGTACCTTATCCGAGGTACTTTTGTGGGTGCTCCTTTTTTGGTACCTTATTGGAGGCATCCCCTTTCGTAGGTATGCCTTGGAGGTAGTCGGTTTGGAGGTGGTTTTGGTACCCCGACATTGGGTAGCCATGTGGGTGTGCTGTTTGCAAGGGGGCTCGAGGGCGCCATGTTTGGAGACACCCCTATATAATCTGGATCACTTTTTGGTAGCGGCCGCCTACGTTGCCAGACTTAGCTTAACTTTTGACCCATTTGCCTTTTGCGATGTTTGTGGTTATCTCTTTCGACCAGCAACAAGTTAACCCTCGGCAGGTGGTCTAAGTCTGACCCAGTATTCTGAGTCAATGTTTGGTAACATCATGTAACATCTTACTTCTGCTTTGTACAAAGGTAAAGGTTTTGGGTTGAATGCTGACCAAATGTTTACAAGGACTTATCCGCCATGAGATCAGAAGGATCCCCGTAAAATGATGGAACCCCCCACTGAAAGGTGGGAACGAGGGGTGGGGCATCCGTGAAAAAGGCCGCAGTTTCTCGGGAGCCCCCCTTATGTTCATCAAACCTTATGATACTTCTCAGAATGTGGGAAGCAATGTATGAAGCAGGGGCAAGGCGAGGGGTTGGGGGCGCGTTTCTCCACCTTTCTGGCGAATCTGACTGAGTAAACCCACACGGGTCCCTGACGAGCCCCGCGGAATCATTGGCAGACGCTTCTTGGGCCTCAACGTGTTGGATGGCTTCAAAGGAAAGCCCCCACGAATCCAGTTCTCAAAGTCTGAAGCCCCTCTTGTGAAAACAACTGGAAATATTTCAGACTTAAAATCCCTCAATTCGCAGAAACAAGATGGAGGTTTCGGACTCGTTGTCTGAGGCTGGAAAAGGATCGGGACGCTGCGGAGCTCGCATTGCTCAAGGTCGAGCAGGCGGAACAGAGTTGAGGATAGACGTGCTCCAATGATCCAATGATGAGGTTCCAGCATCCATTTGGCCATGGGTCAAGACCCCGTACCCCCAGTAAACATCCCAATCCCCACTAAAATAGGTTCTAAAATGGGTGGTGCACCTATCCCGAATGGCACCATTGGTTTTGAACCATGGCCATTTGGCAATTTGTTGTTTCAACCATGGCCCCCTTTTTTGGTGTTTTCACACCTGGCTCCAAGGGCTCCCTTGTCAGGGTGGACTAGGAGCAGCAAAGGACCTCGAGTAAGTGTGGATTTTCCCTCATAGTAAAACGGATGACATCAGTTCCGAAATGGCTATGCCCTCAGTGTAGAGTATGTCATCGCGGTGGGTCTTTGACAAGTGGAGCATGCCATGGAGCTTGCAAAAGGTGATCCATTGTTTGCTCGTTGAGAGAAGACCCACGTGATGGGCGACTTGTTTGGATGGGACGCCATTCCTGTTCGACATTGGATTTTTCGGTGTTTGCTGAATCAGCATGGACCTTTTGTGGTTGTCATGGGGTCCAGGAGGCGTATATAGCATCTGGGCGGGGGTTCTATGGGGGACGAGATCAGCCCTTCAGGATGTATTTCTTGTGGCCGATGCCCCAGTTAGACCTCTCGGATCTATGAGTTCACAAGTTGATGGCCCACAGTGACCTCTGTCGAGGATCCTTAGTTTTTGTCCGTGCTGAGCTGTAGGGTCAAGCAGATTGTCTCTTTTGGTGGCTCTCGCGGGCACCGCGTAAGATCCGGCGACTAGGGCATTGTGCTTGGAAAATCATGTTGCAACCTCACACGTGGGCTTGCGACCTTACCCGAGATGCACTTCAAGCCTGGCGCACACAACTCCCGGGACAAGCCGAGATGCCTGCGCATTTGGGATGCTTTTCATCGCACGCTGTTGGATTGTTGTTTCCCCAGATAGCTGAAAGCTGTAGGTGCTGGTGTGCAGTCGTTGGCATGTTTTTTGCTATCTGGGGTCGTCTATGCTGGTGTAATTTAGGTTCTCTTCCAGGTTGGCTTTAAAGGAAAGCAAATTAGAACTGCCCATTGGGTTTCCACTTTGAGACAAACCCACATGGCAGGGTGGGAAATGCAAGCTGGGAGAACGGCCGTCCCCATGACTCATTCATCAGGGGAATAATCACTATCACAGAAGTGGAAGCCATTTAATGCCCACAAACCTGCTGCATAATGTTGAATGACTCATGGGTGCTCGTAACCAATAAACAACATACACTGAATGTACAGGCACGAAATCTCCTTTAAGATTAAAAGGACACCCTTTTGAGGTGTTCCTTGTGGCACCCTCTTTCCAACAATCAGGCAAGTGGACGATCGGAGGGTTTTGGCCTACCGCTATCTTGAAAAGGCCCCAAGCGTCCAAGTACTTATTTGCTGGAAGGCAACTCGAGGTGTCAGTTTGGCTCTAAATGCTATTGGCAACCATCTAGATAGGCTTTGTGGACCCGCAAAAGAGTTACGCAGCTCCTTCTCACCTAAATGATATCCAGCAAAAGGGCACCGTTTGAGTTGATCAACCCTCCAGCCTTGCCTTCTCACTCCGGTCCAGGGTGGTGTTGAGTCCGTGCACCACGCTGCGAAGGACGCTTGGAAGCTTCCGCAGTTGGTGCGCATGGATTTGTCTCAGGGTGAACCCATCCATTTCTGCGGGCCCAGAGGCAACTTGGGACGATGCGCAGGACCATCGCAACGCACAGAGCATCGCGGAGCAGAGACACGTTGACCAGGCCCGGGGCTTCTTTTTTTTGGGCGTGTGCGGTTTGCCCTGTTTGGCCCCAAGCAACACGAATTGTTTACCTCAATTTGCAGTCATACCAGGACCAAGCGCTCTTCTAGCTGTTTACCCCTCTTGACATAGCCTGATTGCATGGAGTTACGCGTCATGCCAGGCTGGACATCAGAAACAGATACTATTTATAGAAACTAGCCACACAGGCATCCACAGACTTTTTGTTCTGACCTCCGCATCCGCCCCCCAAACAAGCTGGTTTTGGGTCCAGCTTGTATAAGGGACCTGATTGAGTGAAGGGGCCCTGAAGACGATCCATTTCTTGGGGCTGGCTCAGACTCGAACATCGGCGAACGGATGGCTCGTTTTGGGTTTCAGGTGCGCATCAAATGTCCCCTATCGATGCAGTCGAGGAGCTCGAGTCTGGAAACAAAACAACGGGGTCGCTTGTCCGGGACAACGTTGCATCCGAAAGGGGAGGAACGCATTTGACCCATACGAGTCACCGAGTCACCCAAAAGTGCAGCTTGTTTATCGCGAAACCCTGGAGGTGCGCCGCGCGAAGCGAGACATCGCGCAGGCGGGGAAGTATTGGCTGTACCTGGCAAAGGGATCTTTGGGATGTGTCAACATAGGGGGGTGATTTACCTTGTTTCGTTCCAGGTAGACAACAATGACCTCAACAAACACACACCGTTGGGGCTGCCTCATGTAGGTTGGGCAGGGCTTATGTCTGTTTGTTGCGTTTGTCAACGAGTTGCTTAGCTGCTTTGCCCGCCATGAGTTTGCCTTGATCGCAGCTAGTCCAAGAATTGGGGTTGGTCACTAGCAAATCTGAGACGATTGGCCACAAGGTGAAACAGTATGACCCGTTGGGGATCTTGGCTAAATGTTCATGAGACACTAGGGCCCCGCAGATTGGTTTCAGGATCCTGCTCAGACCCCCTTCTCATTCTTTTCTCTGGACGCACGCCTTTTTTTTCCCATCACAGTGCAAACAAGGACAGTTATCAGCCGTGGGTGTTTTGAAGCTGCTCTTGACTGCAATTTATGTTGCCATTGGAAGGGCCCTTGTTCTTGCCGTTATTGCACCCCCTGCCCAAGATTTGTTGGAAATCAACCAGATTTCCACATCTGCTCTTGGATTTCGGGAAACAGTTCAAGTAGTTTGTTTCACTGCTTCACTGCAGGAGTTGGATTTTTCAGTGGAGAAACTGTACCATGGCTTGATGCGTTTGAGTGTACGGAACATGTGGCTCGGCCCTTGAAATCATGCTCTCCTTGTGCTTTGGCTGGGTTGGCCCTCAGCTTGTGCACTGGAAAGGATGCGTACGAGCGAGCGCAAGAGGAGGAGGTGCTGGAGGCAAGGGAAGCTCTTGCCAAAGCAGATCCACCTTTTTACCTCTTGGCAACTTTGGTTTGGGCCCATCCTTTTTGTCACTTCAAGAGTCGGTCAGTCCCCACTTCCGGGTCTTTGGGTTGCTTGGTGGCCTCAAACTGGAGGATCGGGGCTTGGCCCGGGGTTGGGGGAATTTGGTTTCTTTCAAAAGCCTCCAAAAGCTGCAGGCCTTCATTTCACGTCATATGTTGGGTGCTCCTTCAGTTGCGTGAGGAATGCCGCTGTTGTTTGTTCCTTTATGTTGTGTTTCTTGACCGCCCCCAGAAGCCGATGGTTCAGCGCATGCTGGTTGCCCCTCTCATCATGAGACCAGTTGACTCGACTTTGCCTGCCCAGAGTAGAAGAGCAACTATCACCCGCACCTGACCTGCGTTGAATGAATGGAGTGGGAGAGGCTGTGGTTTGTGTGACGCAACAATGGAACAATCACTAGAAAGCCACAACGTTTCTGTTTTTGCCCCTCAGTTTCAATCACAGTCGTCAGCTTCAGCTTGCGGGACGCGGTGTGATCGTGCCCCTAGAGAACCAGCCGATTTGGGATGCGTCTGGGGAAATTTGAACGAGCTGACTCGGGGTGAAACGAGCTCGCCCATGATGAAGTTCTTGATTTAGAGATTCCTGAATCCAGGGTGCTGAATTTTAGACATTAATCATTAGTGCAGATGCATTTGTTCCCCACCCCATGTTGGATGCTTGTTTTGAAGCAAATCAAACCGTTGACGGCAGCGCCCATGTGCAATGTCTTTTTGGTGCTCGTCAGGTCAGATCCCATCAATGCGAGGTATGGGTCAGGGTGTGCTGCAAATCGCCCTCTTTGTGATTGTGAGCATTGCCTGGACCTTTTGTCAAGCATACCAGCGCAGTCTTCCGACGGATTTATCCGAAGTTGATAGTGGCATGTCTCTCAATGTCTAAGTCGGCGTGAACAGAAGCACCCGATCGGTCATCGGATGGTCACACCCTCCTCGGCCAGGCTCAAAAGAACAAAACAACAAATCAGAAGATCAACGCTTGCTTGAGCATACTGTACAGTCTGATGGGCCGCGACAGGAACCAAGCGGCGGGGCCTTTTAACGGGGTCAACGAGGTGGATGCTGGCCGCACAGAGTCCTGGCCTGGGCTGGCTGGGGCTGAGTCTGGTAGGGGACGCTTGCCCTCGTCAAATGATGACGGCGATGATGCTTTGAGTGCCGCCCGAACCTGCGCGGGGCTTCTAAGACGAGCCTCGCCAGGGGCAGCTGGAGCTGCTCCTTTTACCCTGCGCCAGACACCAAAAACCACCAAATTCTACTGGTCTCCAGGCCGACAGCCCCGCCACCAATACCATTCAACAATTGAAGCTGGCTAGCTTAGGCTGTGCTGAAGTGCAGGGCTGCTTGGGCTGGCCGGCGTAAGCTGGACTGAGTTGCACTGGGACTGAGCCTGCGGTTGAGGGGCTGGGTACACAGGAACATGGAGCTTGGTTTGGGGAGGCCCATGATCTAAATAGGGATCTGACAGCCTCGAATGGCCTTTTGTTGACTCACGTTGAAGGTGTCACTTTACATGAGGAGAGCAAAAGTTGGGCCGCGTCCCCAGAAAGGCTCTCAGAACCCTTTCGCGCCAAAACCAAAGCCGGGGTAGATGAAGGTGAGCGCGGCCTTCTTTTGACATGATGTTCATGATGTTGGGTATATGGACCCTTCCACTTTGCCAGGCGCCACTTGCCTTTTGACATATTGCCTTGTTGGTTCCTTTCTTTGCCCCCTTTCAACCACGTGGCCGCAGTCTGGACCGCGCCCCAGTTTCGTACCAGGTTCTGGTTGTGACTCCTTTGAGAAGCGCTCCTCTTGATCAGATCGTTGCAAAAGGCAAAAGGTTCCTTCTCAAACTTTGCTGGGGAAGCTTTGGTTTCCTCCCTACATGTTCAACAAGATAGGGTCCCAGCCTTGAGACACTCTATTCATCCTGTTAAAGGCCGCCATCCGTGTGATTATCGCCGGGCCGGCTTACCTTGTACAATTCCGAGGAAGCAAACACTGAAGACTTTTTGCTGGGGGCCTAAGTCCGGCCACAATGAAGGCGCATGGAAGAGGACCGTTGTCTTCGGCACAGGGATCTGGCTTAGCTTGCCAGAGACAGAAAGTCTGGCCAAGTGAAGGTTTCCAACTTGAAATAAGTCTCTAGCTGCCAGGCTGCTGCAGAAGACCGTGCCCGCCGGGAGCGGGGCAATTCTCAGATGTCCGGAAATTCGATGTCGAAAGCGAGGCGTTAAGGGTGATTTGCTTGAGCCCTGGTCAACTGTTTTCTGTCTTGCCATTCCGCCCTTGTAGTGGTTAGTCTCCTGTTTGAGTTGTTGGCCTCCATTGCAGGTCAAAGGGGTCTTCGAAGTTGTTTCAACGCGGTGGCGGGTCTCTGTTGAGCGTCCAAACAAGCAAGTAACATACTCTCTTATAATGCAAGAACATCTCCCACCACCCTTACAAATTGTCGATTGGAGGGGATAAGTTCTGCATTTCTCTGCGTTTTTGTTGGTGGGGGGGCCCTTCCCACGCCTTGACCGTAGGGAGACGGGGGCGACAATCCACATGTCCAACAAAATCCAGGGGCAAAGACCGCGCAAGTTCTGACGCCCTTTCGGAGAGAACGTTGTTTTTTTCGTGCGGGTCGCGTGTGTTTGGGCAGAGGCTGCCTTTTGTGACAGCCTCCGACCTGGTGGGTCCTGGCTACCTGCTCTTCCAGACATGTCACTTTCTATTTGTAAAGGGTAGTTCCCTTGGCTACCCGTAGACTGCTTCGGGGTCGGCGCGTACTTGGCTTTCAGTGCCTTGCTTGCAGGAGGATGACGCGCAGTATCACCAGTTGAAGGGTCGGATGCGGCTGAAAGAGGTCGGGGAGGGTGGAATGTTGATGCCATATAGTTCGGGGCCACTTACTAAAATTAAGTTGACATTATTTGGGTTAACATGTGGCTAGAAGGGGAACCAAAAATGGCTGGTATCCTTTCGGTTCCCTGTAAAACAACCCCAACAAGGGTAATAATCCTGAACAAAGACGCATTTTCTTGGCGATATGCGAGGTTCATTCAACACACCCGAAAGGTTTCAGGACCTTTGGCAGCGAGCCAAGTCTGGCCAAGTCCTTTCCCCAGAATCCTTTGATCCGAGCCTGATCAGAACTCCAACCTGACGCGTGCGGGTTGCCTTTTGTCGTGGTCTCCCAAAATGTATTTGTTGTTCCTTCAGGTCTCTCTGGAACTTACCGACTTTAACCAAGAGGGGGTTGGAGAATGAGCCAAGGAGGGATCCCTCAAAATCCCTCAAAATTTAAGAAGGGATGGTTTATAGGGCTGATTCCCTCGTTGCCCTGCCTTCGAACCAGCAAGTAAAAGAACCCCCCAAAACGGACAGGGTGTCTCTGTAAGCAAAGCTTCACCTGTGAGTGCGACCACAGAGACACTTTCAAACATGCCCAAAGTGCTGGCTTGGGATTCCCTTCCAAAGGATCCCTAAAGGATCCCTAAAGGATACCGAGATTCAACCAGATCTGTTGATGGGCGAAATCTTGCGCGGATGCATGAAACCCTGGAAATATTGGGATAAACCACGGTGTCGATCGGCGTCCATGGCCCTTTGGGACTGAGCTTATAGCCACTTCATGCACCGCGACCTCTGGGCAGCGACTCTTTGGCTAATCTGCGTGGTGGGATTAACCCAATCCCTGTCCACAGGGCCCAACTAAGAATCATTCCCATTGCGCAAGGAACCCATTTTCAAAATCAGAGGTGTCCCTTTAAGCCGATTTAAACCCCGAAGCCGGTACAACTCCAACAAAGAGGATCCGCAGCAATTTAAATCCACAACCAGTCGAGTCAGAATCAACCAGGCAATCCGAGGGCTGTCAGAGAGCACAAAGCACAAAGAGGTGCTAAGATAGTGAAACCCGGCCCTCAGATTTCCGCACTGTGCCCGGTTTATACCCTCCCGCAGACGAACACCCAGGACCGCTTTAGAAGACTTGGCTCCATTTACAGAGGCCTTCTGGGAGCTTCCATGTTGGTCTGAGGGAGTGTAGTATCACCCTTGGCCAGGCCCAGGACAAGCAGCGAGCTCGCAAGGAGCAGGCAGAAGATGTCCGCGAGGCGACCGGGCGACCGGGGCAAACAGCGGCAGTGCGAGAGTTGCAGATGCACCGCAGGCGGATTTCTCTTTTGGGGAGTCAAAAGGATGGCCCCTCTTCGGAGCCTCGTGCCGCCTTGTACCGTCTTTCAAAAGAGATTCTAAACAGGAGCCTGATTTTGACAACACCCCTTGTTGATACTGTGGATGGACAACATCCTGAAGCGGTTGGCATGAATAAAGCCCAGCAATACTTTTGCCCATCCACAGTACTACTAGCTTCCTGAATGCAAATATTTTGAGGGGTTCTCCAAATAGCTTTTTCGTCCTGGTGGTCTGTGAAACTGCAGGCAGTCGCTGCTGTTCCAAGCTATGTCTTTAGACTTGTTAAGGGGGCCCAAAGGGAGATTCCTTTAAACACAATGCTGGGGTTGCGCAGTCAGGTGTATAGCAACAGTGCGTGATAATACATGCATTTGAATTTCAACAAATCTCAAGGACTTTTGCAGCCTCTCCTTGAAGGATGGTTACAAGGGCCTTCCCTGAAACCACTTTTGTAGCTGCATTTCTGAAGTACACACATTCCTTCAATACATACATGTCTTTACGTGCGTAATCAATTTGTCGGTTGTTGGCATGGCATGCATAAGCTGTCAGTTATTTTCCAACAACTCTGGTTCAAACAAGCAGGAGGCCCCCAAGCTGTTTAGTTCTTTTTTGGTTTTGTTTTGAACCCAGCCAAAAGGGATTCCTAAAGAAGACACGCCCATAGTAAGGGTCATCAAAGTTCTCCTGCTTTTGCTTCGCCTGCCTTTCTCTTCTTGCAGGGCCGCTTCCAGTATGATGCCCAGCGGGTCTTGCAGTTGAAGGACGGGGTGTGGAGCCTTCCGCATCCCTTTGCACAGTGTACCCCGCTGCGATGGGGCCCTCAATTGGAGCTCAGAAGTGTTAGGCGATGTCTTGACACGTCTAGCGGAAGGTATGGACACTTGAAATACTCTACAAAACACATATAATATAGCTCGGGTGGTCCTTGCCACTCCGCTGGGGACTAATTACAAGAAATCATTTGTCCCATTGGATCTGCACAAGGTGATCATTTGGCTTGTTTCTGGCCTATGTTTGCTGTATGGTCCATGGGCTCTGCCTTGCTCGATATTTTTGCAAGTGAAACACTTGCACTTGAAGGCATGGCGAGGCCGAATCGCCCCGTAGACCTTGTGGAAGCCATGAAATCTGCAAAAGGTCTATATAAGGACCTTTTGCTCGGGCCCGACCGAGAGATCGATCCATCCCGATGGCACGCTGGCTGCATGGATGTTTCGCCAGGAGTCGAGAGACGACCACTCCTCAGCATTGTCCAGCCTTCGTAGCGGGGAGGAGTAGAGTTGCCAATATGGTCTCGAATGATAGCATGCGTGTGTGTGTGTGTGTGTGGGTGCGTGCGTGCGTGCGTGCGTGTGTGTGTGTGTGTGGGTGCGTGTGTGTGTGTGTGTGTGTGTGTGTGTGTGTGTGTGTGTGTGTGTGTGTGTGTGTGTGTGTGTGTGGTGTGTGACAGGGGCTTCACAGCCTCGTGCTGCGCTGCGTGCGTGCGTGCCGTTGCGTAGAGCTCCGTCTCGTCGTCGTGTGTTGTGGTCGCTGCGCTGTGCGCAGTTCTTGTGCGAGTTTGCGGTGACCTCGCGTGTGTGTTTATGTGTGTGTGTGTGTTTGCGCGTTTGCGCGTTTGCGCGCTTGCGTGTTTGCGGGTTTGCGTGTTTGCGTTTTTGCGTGTTTGCGTGTTTGTGTTGTTGTTTTTTTGTGCTGTTTGTTGTTTGTTTTTTGTGAGGGTACCTTTTTTGGGTGGTTTAACAAGGAGCTTGCCAGGAAGCAACGATTTTAAGGGTTCCCTCATGTGAAGACACACACGCTTGCCATCATCTCAACTTGACACGGCTCTGCGCCTTGTTCGCTTGTGCCCTTTGATTGGCTGCGGCACACAGCAGAAGACATGATCCGAATTGCGGCTGCTCGCACATTTTCTTCCAAGGAGACGGAACTACATGGCGCCATTATATACCGTTTTATGGCTGCCCATTTGACCAGATCAATGGAACTGGGGACCCAATCACACCAAGGTAGGATGTTGTGTTGGCCAGTCAAAATCTCAGTTGTCTAAGGACATGGGGCATTTAGTGAGTCCCTGTTTGCTTTGTGAGGAGATTGAGCGAGTCTTCCATGCCCATCCCAAATGCACCGTGACCCAATTTGCAACTTCTTGTGGGCAATGGTCCTGAGGCCATACTGTTGAAGATCAAGTCCCAGAACGAGCGCCGAGAAAAGAAGAATCAGAAGGTGAAGGCCCGGGACAGCACGCGCACATTGCATGATGTGAGTTCGGGAAGCTTCCGACAGTTCTGGAAGCCTCATTTGGCTGAAACACATTTGTTTTGGGCTCTACGATTATAGGACCGTATCAGTCGGCGTGCAATTAAACCTGAACTTGCAGCTAGTGCCCCACCTTGGAGGGGTCAGTATCCCAGGGATCCGGGCGATTTCCCCGCGGCCCAGGGTGTAGAGAAACGCGCGGCCAGTACGGGCAGCATCTTCACACTTGCCAGACCGAAAGAGAGAAGCAGAGGCAGGATTTGCTGCAGGAGGGAAAGAACCCATACGAGGCGGGGGGCGCATCGGTCCAGTCTTCCAACATTTGAGGGGTTGTCAAGAATATGGCGCTTGTAGATACCAAGGCCCCATCGTTGTTTCTCTCGGCTCAGCTGTTTTGTTCATTTCTCTTTTCTAGGGCCCATGCGGCTGTTGGAACCGATCGACCAAGCCCCAGGTCTGGAGAAGGGAAGAGATGGAGGCGGCTACGTCTCTGGGCAGATTGTCCTGTTGCCATCGAGGTGGTTCTCTTGTTTACCAGCGCGATGCAATTGTCAAGTTCTGAGGATCTGATTTTGGGCTCCCCAACCAACCCTAAACCCGTGATATTGTGGTTTACAGCCCGCATTTAAGCCGTACAACCCCCATGCTACCCCTGTACCAACCCAGCATTTTTCGTACTGTAGAAACCAGGTGTTCAATCTTAAACCCCGGAACATTTTCCACACCCTCCTTTTTTAAGGTCACCGTGCTCCAGGACGGTGCTATCATCTTACCAAGGGTTTCGGAGGTGCCTCCTCCCCCCATTTTGCGACTCTCCGCTGCCAAGAATCCCGCACAGAAAGCGACTTTCCTTCGGGTGTGGTGATTTTAAAGGGGAAATATATTGACATTATAGGGAGCCACGAATTGCTTCACGCGTGGCACGACCATGGGACACCTGGCACGTGGTTCCAATTGGGCTTTGGCCATGAACCCAGTGTCAAAAAACCAAAGTTTCGAACTGCGCATGTGGATGCCTGCGTTTAGTGGCTGGAGCCATAAAGGGTTAAACTGCAAAGGTCTCGGGATTTCGACCACACAATGTCCAGCACCCACCCAACCAGCCAGCCGGCCAACCAACAAATCCAACAGCACAGAGCGGCTAATCCAAAATCCTTGAAACACCCAACCTTCTCTTCCCAAAAGGCCAAAGCCCAAGGGTACCGGTGGCTTTTAAGACATGGTGGTGGGTGGAAACCAATGGTATCCCAGGTTGTGGTAGGTGAATTCACCACCCATCTAAGTCCATTTTAGTGGGGCTTGGGATGTTCACTGGGGGTACGATTTGGGTTTTGACCCATGGCCACATCGATCCCGTTTCGCGAGAGGTGCGGAAGGAGGAGCAGCACCTGCGTCTCCGTGCCCAGGCGGAGCTGCGCTCCGAGAAGCTGTCGGGACCTCAGACGACCGTGTGGCTGGGCGACGGGTGGCCCGAGGCCCCGAAAACGGGCGGGTGGTTTCGTTTCTGTTTGGTGTGTGCGTGTGTGTGTTGTCGGGAGGGGGGCGGGGAGGGTGGGAGGGGGGGGGGGGGTCCATGCAGACTCAATCTCTAAACAAGATGGGTGTCTTAAATTTGGGGAACTCCTAAAACTGGTTGGTTCCTTTATGTCAAGACAGCCCTAAAAGGGTACCCTTAAAGAAGATGCACCCACGTGCCCACACGAAGCCGTTGCAACATAGACCCGACGTGTCGACCATGGGGGAGAGCTGTGGGGTTTCAACGAACATTGGGGTCTCCTTAATTTTGTGGCAGACTCAATATAAAGCCAAATAAAGAACACCCTGAGCTTGTTTGTGTACCCCGGATCAAGATATGGTTTTCCACAAGATACATCGCACGATACGAGATGCCCCAACATTGGTACCAGTGACCATGGGGAGTAAGGAACGGAACATGAATTTCTTGGTTGCTCCAGGGGTAAGTTTGGCCTTGTTTTTTGGGTTGCCTCAAGTCAGATTCACCCAGATTCATGTTTGAGTGTTGTGTTTTCTTGCCGTTGCAGTTGCAGAACATCCACTGTGCCTGATTCGAACGTTCAAACATGTGACGGGACCCCTCATGGAATTGGGGAAGGGGTGTGGAATTCCATTTTTTTAGTTCCATGCTTGGTATGGGTATGTTTCAAAACCCCAAATGGTATAGGTTGCCTTACGGCTTCCCTTGAAATCCAACCAAAACGTGGCTCCCAAAAACGACACCCGCATATTCCTTTGACACACACACACACATCCCCACACCCAATGGCAGCCAGCTTCCTAATTTTGGAGGGGTGTTCCCTTCAAAATCCACCAACAAGCAGCAGTGCCGAGTGCCCCCTGTTTTGTCAATGGACATGCCACTGCCGCCCCCGGTGGTCCGGGCAGACGAACCAACCCAGGGTGGAGCAGCTCATTGCGGAAGACAAGACCTACAAGCGCAACATGCAGGAGCTCCGTGACGGATTCTCTCGGTGATAAAGGTCTGGGTGAAGAAAAAACGACCTCACACGACCTCACCCCAAATTGTGGTTTATGTGGGGAATAGCCCCCCAACCACCTTATTTCAGGTTCGTGAAATATTATAATTCACCCAGAAAGGCAAGCCTTCAATCTGTGTGTTGCAGATTGCTACACATAATGGTTGAATATACCCGTGGTGAGAGATACTGGGCTCGCGTGGGAACCTCTAGTTGTCAGTTGCACTTATGGTCTCCCTATATGTCTTCCTTGGCGTCACCGCGGAGGGTTTCTCACGTTGAGTTGGCCCAAACGGTGATGCTGAAACCAAAACCAAAGGGGAAGTAGGAATCGGTCCCCAGTTGCCTTTTGGTGTGCCTCAAATGCGCACCAAAAGGGGACCTTTGCCGAATATGGTATGATATGTCAGCACGTGCGCGTCACTTGCGGATCCCCACCAGCTAATGTATAAGGAGGGAGTCCACGTCAATTCAAAGGGGAAACCTTATTCCCATTCTGGTTTGCCTTGGTGAAATCATGTATGAAATTGTATGGCCTGGGCGTTCCTCATGATTTTCAGTTAGTGAGGATATCAGGATGATTGATTGGCAGGCTTCTCGCTCAAATCCAGCTTACACTGATATCAACTTTCAATCACACGTAGATCCTGGGGAATGGCTGGTGGGTAATTCGGTTCAAATGGGAGCAGCGATAGCGCAATTTGACACGAGTTTCCTTTTTTTGTGGGGCCGAATGTTGCCGGGTTGGACATATAGGGAAAACTCGCTAAGGGACCTTTGGTCCTTTTTGGGAGCCTCTGGAAAACAGGGTCAAGAGGGGCATTCTGAAAGAAATCTATCTCCCAGGAGCAATATCTCTGTCAATCTCTTTCCAGAACTAAAAAAAACGAAGCAAGAAACAAAAAGAAAACGCCGGGTCTCAGGAGCCAGGTCTAGCAGCTTTATTTCTGTCCAGAACCAGGTTGTTTTGTTTGGGCTCGGGCTGTGTCTACCCTACACAACATGTCTCTGCAAGGGCTTGGAGCGTGTTTATTCTATTGATGATGATACCTGTTTTTTTTTTTCATCCACATGGAATAGTTTGTTTTTGATCCTTGTTTTTGTTTTTGTTTTTTCTGATCCGGTACCCTCTAGAATGTTGGGGGCGGACAACTGTCCACAAAAGGGTTCCCAGTGAACATTCCTGGGTAATGGTTCGGGGTGGTAGTGGCAACCACCTTGTTGGAGATGCCCGAATAAGGTTTTGAGTTTCAATAGGGAACCACCTAAAATTGGGTGGATGGACATAATCCCCATCAAAAATACCCTCACCAAAGAGCCCCCCATCGAGTCCGAGGCCGATTCAAACATTCACCGTCAGGAGTCCAAAAAAAAACGGGAGCAGAAGGAGGAGTTCCAGCGCCAGGCCAGCGCCGGGAATTTTGTCGGTCGCTTTCGGTTTCGGGGTAGGCGGGGTGACTTTCGGGGAACTCGGAAGGGATCCAACCATTTTAGGGCCCGTCCAGTTTGGAGACAGACCCCTATACTATACATATATATATATATATATACTGTGCAGTGTCGATGTTGCGTGGTGTTTTTGTTGTGTGTTTTCAAGTGAGTTGTGTGTCTTGTTGGTTCTTGTTTTTGTGTCATTGGTTGGGTGTTTGTTGGCTTTGTTTGTTTGTATTCCAGTGAAGGTTGGAATGTTGGTTGCTCAACTTAGTCCAAGCGGAAGACTTTGAGGTTTAAGACGATCCGGGGTAGATAATGATGTACACATGTTCCGCATATGAAGGGTTTCAACATACGTAGTAGTTTGGATAAACATCTTGAGTTTGTTGTAGCTGTTGTTTTGTTGGTCTACCTTGCTTACCTGTTCACTACGTGTCTAATTGCTGAACATCACTGGCATTGTTTTTTGTGACAGTCCCGCCCCTGATATTGCTATGATTGAAAGTTAGGAACGGTTTGCGACAGCGCCATTTTCCACGTTAAAGGGCGGCCTTTTCAGGGCCGGTCAAGGGGGTTGTCTCCAACTTGGATTGGGAACTTCAGACATAGGTCTTGTTTCGTTTGGGTTTCTCTTGACATCAACCAACAACAATATTCCCAACGTCCCTTGTTTCTTGTGTGCGAACTCACCTTTTCGTTGCCAAATCACAGTAGGTTTCTTTCGGGTCGGGGAGTGTTTGAAGCACACTGGACCTCACAGCACAGTGGAAGCATACCGAGCCCTGTAGTGATATTGGTTTAAGCAGCTGTCGCCCTGTGCTGTGCGTCCTGTGCGGAGTAGTTTGCTTCGTTTTGTTCTAACGAGATTCACACCTCAGAGCAACATGGAATCCAACAAACCATGAATATTGAGAAGTGTTCCTTGCAGGGACCCCTGCTTGAGGTTTCATATGAGTAACATTTTGTTCTTCCTAGGATTCCTATGTTACTTACTGGCTTCCAACACACAACTCGAGCCTGGCCATTGTCACGCAGCTGTTGTCTGACTGCACCTCTATCCCACGTCGTACCATTGAAGGGATACTTCGCGATTCCTGCCAAGGTTGGAAATTATGCCAAGGAGAAGAAAATCACGTCAGCACCTGAGACAGCGGCACTCGAATCATCAATTTGATTCGTGAGGGCTCTGCATTTCGTGTACCTTTAAAGCGCGTGGGTTGTTGAAGGGAAGCGACAATCACTGGGGGGAGGGGGGGGGGCGGGGTTCTGTGGGGGCGCGGTTTTCTGGATTTTTGATTTTCCGTGGGTGCCCCACCTTCCAAACTGCAGAAACCCACAAACCTGTGACTGGCTCCGACAACCCTGTGCTGTTTCTGCCAAAAGCGCTGAGAGAAGAGCGATTGATCTGTCACACGCCACATGTGCCAAGGGCCTTCCTTGCGCATATGTTCCGCATCGGGCGAACTGTGGGCGCGTGATTTGGTGAAGCCAGGGCAAAGGCCGGGTCCGTGGCCCGTGGTATTGAAAGGAGGTGTTGGTCCGCAGGGTCAAATCCACAAACGGCCGACCTTCATTGCCAGACTGTCCCAGGTCCAAGACCCTTTGAGGATATTACTGTAGCTGTCCCAAGACCCTTTGAGGATGTTGTTTGTTTGGTTGTTTCAAGTGCTTCCTAAGAAGGTCGGGGTGTGACTCAGGCAATACATCCGCAAGATGACCATCGGCCTGGGAGCCTAAGTGCTGGGTGCAACTTGTCCAGTGGAGAATGCCCACGTCAAGCCGGAAACCCACCGTGTCCCTGTGAGGCGACGAAGTGTTTCCGGTTTGGGCGATGTGAAGGGCATGCATCCAGAATCCTGTACTTTGCTATCGCAGGTTGTGCAGAATCGAGTGACCTGAAGCCTCTATGGCGATGCCTGGTCAGTTTTATGTGGACGTGCAGGTAGCGCCCAAAGCAGCATGTTGGGACTTGTGATTCTGCCCCCGCACCCTATAAGAAATCAACAAGCTTTAGAGGGGCCCAAAAAGGGGTTCGGTGCCCTTTGATTGCTTGGATTACAACCCCCTTTTTGAGTTAGACATGCCTAACACTTCTAGACGCAGGTGAGGTTCAGTCACAACCTGGGTAACTGGTCAGTCCCACCCATAAGTGGGTACCGCCCTTGTAATTATTTGCCTGGTTTGGCTAGACCCGTTTAGTACCATGAGGTGAGCTGCTTCTATTTTCGGACATGGGGACAGAGGTGACCGGTGGGTGCCTTCTTGAGGCAACGTGGACGTGTTGGATCCCACGGGCACAGCGCTTCGCATTGACCCCTCGAAGGCAGGGGCAGAGTTGGTGAACCAAAGCAGTGCTGATGCCTTCAACAACACTGATAATCAAACCGGGGCGGGGGGGGGGCTTTGTCATGTCATTCCTTTCTTCCAAGGAACCCACAGACTTGACAGGGCAAACGTTGGCAACTTGAACAGGTACCAGGCAGATGTTCGAGAAACAAGAGACTGCAGGGAAAGGAATCTAGCGAAGCATTTGTTCAGTCCTTGTGGCTATAAATTTTAATAGGGAGCTCCATCAAAAAGTCTTAGGACACAAACCCCATCATGATGTCCACCTAAGGATCCCTAATTAAGAATTAACACCCATGCCATATTGGTTCACCAGCCCTAGAGTGGGACTCAGATTCAGCAGAAAGAGTCTGCGGATTCGCCGCTTTCGGTTTAATAATGGCAATTCGACATGCCACCGAGATGGAGGAATGGATACAGATAAAAAGGACGCTTTTGTTTGTGTTTTGTTTGTTTCAGTTTTGTCCCTCCACTCAAACCATGGTTGGGCAAACATTGCTTAAACAAAAAGGCCCTGGTGCTCTCGTAAGGGAAGCCAAAAGGAATCGCTCAAGCAAATGGTGGTGTAAACATCTTCAAAGAAGGGCTTGCTTGGTAAGTGGTTAGTAACCTGGCTGCAATCCGCTTGGCTTGCAGCCAAAGCAAGTGGGTTACAACTTATAGCCCTTTTTGTTCATGGCAATGGGTTTTATCCATTGCTATAGCCAAAAGATTGCTATTTCTTCATGGACCTCCATGTCCGGTGAACTTTAGGGGCATTTGAGCAATCGCAGGCCAAAGGAGAATCCACTAGTACCCTATTCTTGGGAGCAATATGTGTGTCCTTTTTGGGTGCACCCTCTTGTACAGACTAGTTCGGGATAGGCCGCACCTTTCGGAACACTCTTACGTGTTCAAGGCTTTTGCCAGTTCCCTGTCGGCTTCACACGGGAATTGCGGTTCTGGCTGGAAACAATACTGTTTTGCTGTGGACACCTTAGGGAGGAAGTCTATTTTCAATGGCGCCGGCAGCGGATTTAGTGCACCATGTCTCTTGAAGCCTCCCCCGCCTTTTGTCAGGGCAGGTTGATTGAGGATGGTCCAAGTGTGTTTTGTTGGATATCTTCCGTGCTGGGACAACACTGTTTTCTCATTATTGGAGAAACAGATATTGGCGGCTTCGCCAGCTCGCTGATTTTGTTGTTTTAAACGGAATTGTGGCAAGCGCCCAGATCATTCCCACGCTTGCTTTTTTTTGTTTTTTGGCCTCCAGTTCTCAACGTCAAAAACTGCTCAAACAAGTTAACCGTTTCAACGTTCTCAAGTGCAGCAAACATACGATATTCTGGGAACATAATGCTAGTAGCTATTCGTCCCCTTGCACTAGCTGGGGGAGGTGACTGGCAAAACTTGGTAAACACCCCAGGCCGGGCAACACTCGTTTGTTCCGCACCGCCAGATTTGTGTACGTTTAGTTTCTCAAATTCCTTGTGTTTGGGGCTTGCAAGCGATGGGTTCCGGCCCTTCCCTAAGCATCCAAACACTTAGGTATTTCGCCCTGGCAACCCAAAAACCATTCTCCAAACAGACGGTTTTCTCCCGATCCCTTTCTCTGAGACGATTCAAACTTCCGCGCACGCCGGTAAGCCGCAGATCCGTGTTTCGAGAGGCGGAGTCTTCCGCCCCAAGGGGCTACCTGATACCTGTGGGTTTCAAGCGGAGCGTGTGTCCTTCGGACAGGTCAGCATCCAGCGCACCAACGCGTTTGGTTTGGGCAGGGCCCGCACGGAGGAGATCCAGAACGTGGCGCGCCAGGCGGGGTCAAAATGTGGGAGTTTCTCAAATAGGGTCCCTTTACAATGGGTTTCCTTTTAGTTCCCCAACAAAATCAGCGGTTGGAAGGAAGCCATTCCAGAGTCGTATCCAAATTGGCCAAGGAGGCCTAGCGGTAGTTCACCTTTTCCAGTATCTTTTGGGTACAGCTGGGCGAAAGGAGGCATTGTTGTCCTATCGGGGCAAACCGTCTGGAGATGGATGAATGTTGCGTGCATCAACATGTCTCGAGCGGTTTGATGCGTCAAGCCAGTTTGGGGTGAGGATGAGACATATGGGTGTGGGTCAAGATTGAACCACCAGGGGGGTGTTAGTCCTTGGTTCCATTTACCAGGGGCTCCATTCGGGTACCTATTCTTGACCCACGACCATATTTTGTTGGAAGGCAACGTGAGCATGTTGGTGCAAAGCTGTCGCCATTCACAAGTCTATTGATCCCTACCCAAACTGATGAGCATATTTGCAAATCTACATGCGCCCATTTTAGGCTCTCGATGGAACCCAAGCTGTTGACTGCAGTCTGAAGCTGACGAGTTCTGTGTGGAGCTGAGTTGTTGTCCGTCGCTTCGGCAAGGTGAAGTCTGGCAATACGAGGACGGGCCAAAAGCTAAGAACGGTGCCTGAGATCTGGGTGTATCCTTTTTGAGGGGAACCCCTGTTTTGGCGAGTTGTAAGGAGCAGCCAATTTTGTGGGATCTCCAGCACATTTGAAGACAAACCGTGGCATCGAATCATTTCCGAGTTGAAGGCTTGAAACTCAGCGGAATCGCAGACCTGCGCACATTTGTGCCAAAGGCGGCGCTTTCTCGCTGGCTTTGGATCAGTGAGTCCACATAGATGTCCAATTTGGCGCAACACAACGGAACGTGGTGCCAGGCTGCTTTAACTCTGCGACGTGGCTTCATGGGTCGTATCACGGGGATTGAACTCGTTGCCTTTGGTTTGGCCGCTGGCGGACCAACGGCACGTGTGGCACGGTTCTCCAGAAGAACCTCCTTTGGAAATCGAATTAACGCAGTGTCCAAGAAGAACTACCGTTGCGGTGATGAACGCACGACACCTATTTTCATGAAGAGCCGTCTTTTGGCGATGAAACAACGTTCCCAAGAAGAGCCACCCTTTTGGCGATGACATGACATCCCCGAGGAGAACTACCCTGTTGGTGATGACATAACATTCTCGGGAACAAACAAAAAAACACCCCAGTCAGGCTGCAGGCTCCAGCGTAATCTGTGAGAGGGCACCAAGAGGACCCACCATGTTTTACCCAATGGATCCCTTGTGGTGCCTTTGAGGATGATTTTGGGTGGTGCAAAGGGGTCAGAGTAACTACCTCCTGAAAAGGTATCAAGGAATCCTTAACCGCCCAGCATGGCTCCAGGATCGAGCAGTGGAAGGAAGCGAATCAGAACACCGAAGAGGAGGAGGAGGCGGAGGCCGCCGCGCGCCCTCTTGGCACGTTTTTTTTTCTTGTTGCGTGGCTTTTGCCTGAATTATGGCAAGCTCACCCTGGGGCTGAAATGAGTTCACCATGGTGCAGGCCCTTGATTTTGAGATCCCTCGTGTCACCTTTTGGAATTGTTGTAGCAGATACAGGTGGCTAGGAAGGGTTCAGAGCTTCCCTTGGTTCGATGGACACCGAGCGCCGAGCGGCTTTTATTTCCAGGTCCTTTTCTGTCAAGAAAGACAACAGAAAGCCCCTCAGAAAGGCTGTCAACGGCCTTCGACCAGAACCCGGAAGGTTCCTTCCAAACCTTGCATGGTGGTTGTCTCTCTAGCCCAGCCAGAAAATCGGATGCCGATGACAAGTAGCTGTCAGTCCCGTGTCCATTTCGGAACCCAGAAATCAGTCTGCACGAAGTACAGCGAGCTCACCGATTTTGAGACAAAACTAGCGATTTCATATTCATGGTATCTTATGGGTTGCTGAATTTTGGATTGTGGACTATTGTTTTGGAACATGAACTCTCCAACACACAGGGGATTTGTGGTGGTCTCAGAAGGAGGGTGAAAAGAGAGGATCAACGTTGAGTTCTGCGCCAACAGGTTCCCGTGAGTGAAGCCTTGGGGGAAAGCTGCCAAGCACGGATGGTTTTTTGACTCATCTGTGCCCAGTGCTTGTGGTCGCTTTGGTGATCGATCCGTCGGGTTCGAAAGGCCCGCCTTTGGAACCTTGCAACTGAAAGCCAGGGAAAGCCAAGGGACCCCAGTTTAGTCCCAGCGTCGAACGCCCCTGATGGCCATTTTAGCAAGTGGTTCTACTGCCTGGTTTCGGGGTTATGGTAAGGCAGGCCGATATAAAACCTTACAATCATCTCAGTAGAGCCAAACACCAAGGGGTGTTGGTTGCACTGCTCAAGTTGGGATCCCTGTTCTTTGAGCCAGCCTCGGTTGCTCAGGCGCTGCGGATGGAACAAGAGCAGATGGACAACTTCCTCCGTTCCGCCTCCGGCGAAGACGGCGCGCCTTTGGGCGAACCTGAGGGAAGTACTTGGGCCAGTTTGGTACCGAAACGGGTCCTGGCACAGGGGCCATTTGACAACCACCACTCGGTTTTGCGAAATTAGGCTGGTTGCGCTGGTTTTTGCCGTCATGCAAAATTGCCAGTTTCTATGTGGGCTCCGCTGGCTATGGTTTACCGGTGTCATCATTTTCTTCAAAAGGACACCTCTGCTTGGCGCCTGGGGGACCGATCAAGCGCCACGTGGGCGTGCCTGTAGGCTTATACAGGGAATCCAAAAGGAAACCGCTCATTTTGGGGGTTCCAAATCCTTTCAAACAACATGAAAGTGGCGAAAGTCCCGCTCCACAGCAGTGACAAAAACGGCTGGGCGCTGCGCTGCGCCCTGTGCAGGTGACCCCTTTGAAGTGGAGGAGCCAGAGGAGGCAGGGCTGGGCCATCTCCCTTGTTGCAGGCGTGTTTAATCCACGTTTTTGTCTCTTCTTTTTTTTTCTCCACCTTTGGAGGACCGGGATCTGGTAGTTGAAATAAGTTGTGCAGTGAGAGGATCAGTCTCGGTAGTATTTGGGAAGACTGGATACATCGAATCGGGACCCCCTCCCCCTTCCAGGAGTCTCTGTTCCCTGATCCAGTCGGGTGGTCTTGAGGGGCTTTAACTCATTTCAGAGAAAGAAAAAGCGGGGTCCCCTCCCCGAGTTACTTACTTGTTGCGTGCCAGGACGAGGAGGAGGAGTCGGAGGAGGCGGTTGGGGTGGGCGAGCGAGTGGGCGGGTCTTCATACCGGCAGTCTCTTTGCGGACGATCAACTAAGACTGATCGGACAAAAGGCGCCAACAGACAGTGTGAAGATAAGCAGTTCAAAGCTGGAATGCAGTGCGTGGTCAAGACTTCCTGATCAAATGCCGGGTGAGAGACGGCCTAGTGAAAGATTCCCAGCTGGGCCAGCAAAAACCGGTGCTTTTTCTCCAACAGCCAGCAAGCAGTCAGCGACCAGTAGCAAAGTCAACAAGAACTGTCTCTGTGAATATGAGCATAGTCGGAGTTCTTTGTTGCAAGCTTTGGCATTTCTGGCGTTTGTTCGTGGAGAATCGTTGCGCTTCCTTGGTGTATCACCCAAGCACAGTCAAGGTCAAGGCACAAGCCAGCGGCACAGGCCGCGCATACGATGACTGACTTGGGCTCTGAATCGCGGAAACCGGTCGACTTAGGCCCAAAGTTCAGTTCCAAGGAGTTTGCAGGCATCAATATGAACTAGTAACAGCACATATGGTCCATATGGTGATGTTTATGCTGATGTCCATCATACCGTGCATCTCCGCAGACCTCTGAACTGTTCCAGATTGGCCGAACAATCCGATTGTTGCGCCAAAGGTATGAGTTTCGTTATCATTCGTGGGTGTGTGCAGAAATAAAGGGAGCCCTTGTTTGTGGCTGGTGTTCTTTCGGTTCCCTTTCAGCATTGAAAACGGGGTACACACACAAAAGACACTGCCCAAGCCTCCTGAGCCTCCGGCTTTCGTCTTGGGATCTACGTCACATGTGAATCCTGGTGCATCATCAGAGTTGTGGGTGTTTTTGTTTGCATGCTTCTATTTGCGTGAAGTATGGAGAGCTCACCTGACTCGTACAACAAGACGGTGAGCTCCGTACTGATGGACGAAGTCCATTTCGCACCACTTTGAAACCCACGGGGGAGCCATTGTTTGCTTGGTATTAACAAGGGAATCCTCGATCCAGGGTTTCTTAGCATCAGTATGGACGGCTCCTTGCGATCCTCGGGAGTTGCATGTGTCTGGGGGCAAATTCTAAGCGCAGGGTGAAAACGAGCTCACCCATTGCGGGCGTCCCTACAATGTCCGGTTGACGAATTATATAAATTTGCGCAGATGTCATTTGGGTGTGGGTCAAAATTAAACCAGGGGACCACAGGTCTTGGTCATTGTATTCACTTACCAGGGTCCCATGTTGGGTACCTATTTTTGACCCACAGCCATTTTGTCATTTTTTCTCCCAGCCCGGCTTCACGGGGAAGCCCGCGGCAGGACGACGAGGTGGAGAGAAAGCTGTGGGTGCCAAACTACTCTAAGTTGGAGCAGCAGTACATGGTTGCAGCCAGGCCTGGAACGCCAATTGGATCTGTTTCCTCGAACAAGTGTCGGTTCCCCCGAAACTGTGAGGTGGTTCCGTTTTGTGTCCCTTGAAGGACCTAGTAACAAGCTTTTAAACCTTTTTCGTGGCAAGATGTTTCATCATTTTAGTCAATGGATATGCTTAGTTGTTCATGTGTTCTAGAGTGATAGCATTCTTTGACCATGGCTCATATGCAACCCCGCAATCTGTGCTGCGGGTCGGCTTTTTTCCCCTTCAACACATCCCATCCTCCACACCAGAACAGTTTTGGGGTGGGGTTTAAAAGGTAAACCAACCGACCCGTAGGCACTTGTTGTTCACGCTAGGGGAAGAGCCGTCCACCTCCTGGAGCGATTTTGCGGATTGTACGTACTCGAAGGAAGTGGGTAGTGATGTTACTTAGGGTGGACTTGCTGACATGGTAAGTGAGTCAGGGTTGCCAATCACATAGTAGCTGCTTTGCCCCCAGCCGTTTTACTTTTGGGTGTTCGCATGTTGCCTAGCATGGGACCTCGCCTGAAACTGGTCTTTCCTTAGACACGCGCAAATGTGGTCGGATCCTCCACTTTGAATGTTTTAATCCTAAATATTTTGTAATCGAAAATCCTCAAACTGGATTATTACCATCTTTCCAACAATCATGGCGTGCACAAAGGGGTTCCCCAAAAGGAAAATAGTCTTCCAAAGCCCTCCTGTCAACTTCCATGATTGTTGGAGGGAGGGTAAAAAATCAGGAGTTTATGGATTTGAATTTAAAGATGTTCATTATTGTAAATATGTATTTAATTATAGAAAGAGGACTAGGCTATGGAATAACATTACAACTTGGAAACCTAGAGATTTATGTAGAAAGGATTGTGGAAAAATCAGGAATAATAGACATATTGAAACTGCACAACGGCTTCCATCGGGCACCATGGAAAAATGGGGAGACAATCCAATAATACATAAGCAGGAAGATTTATATAAAATACCTAGCGAATTAATTTGTGAAATCTTGGTGAGTTTGGTGGATCAAAGAAACAAGACACCAGTCCCAAAATTAGGGGATTCGAGTCCCAAATTCGTGGGATTCGGGATTCGAGTCTCAAATTCGCAGGATTGGTGTGTTGTCGAAGCATTCTACCCATCACGCCTACGCCTCAACTCATCATCAATTAAATTATTATCCTGAACTTAAGTTATAACCATACTATAATAATAACATGTAAAATATTATATGTTATAATTGTATTATAATTATCGGTTGTAAAGATTGAATTATTTTTCCTAATTTGCTTGCCTCTTTCAAAGTGCGTTGTTTAGACTTGGTATGCTTTTTGTTTTATTTTTTTCGTGCTTTGGCTGTTTGGTTTTGAGGAACTATTAGGTGGAAATGTGTTTTAGTCATATTGTTAAGTCTGAGTGAAAAATTCACGAGCATTGAATAAGGTAAAAAGAAACAATGAAGAACAACTGGAGTTTCTGAGAATTGGAAAAAATACTTAAAATGCAAAATGGATAAGGATAAACAAAAAGGAAAATGACATAGGTTAAGTAGTGAAAAAATAATGGATAAGGTGTGTATCTTTTCTAGGAATTACTTAGAATGAATAAGGTTGTGATTTACTAACCTCATTTATTATTTGATACATGGTTTTTCAATGTGTTTTTCATTGGTTGTTAGAAAGATGTAGAAATACATTTCAGTTCCTTCAACTCCCCTTTCTACATTTTGCTTGATCTCCCCCCCATCCAGCGAGCTTTTAGGGCCAGGAGAGCTCCACTTCCTCACCATGGGACGGGGGGGATTTCATGTACTTTCCCCACTCAAACAATGGCCTTACCAGGAAGCTAGGGATGGAGGCTTGTAGGGGGTACCTCCCGGACTTTCTTTGGGCAGAAAACCACCCCTGAGTATCCAATACAAATTTGGCATGTTTTGGGCTCGGAGCCGGGCCCCATCTTGAGGACTACTTTGGTTTCCGCGGGGAACCAGGTCCGGGGGGCAAGCAATGTTCCGGAGATTGGGCAGTCAAGGCATTTCGTGCAGCAGAACTGTGCCAACTTCAAGCTTGGACTAGGCCTGGGATTGTCTTTTGCCAGAGGGGAGTTGCCATCGGAAGAGATTGGCCAGCAATTTCTTCGAGACTTGTGTGCCGTCTAAATGGCCCCTCCTGACCGGCTGAATATGGGTGTGTCTTCTTGTCGGGGAACCCCAAAATGTGTGTTTCCCTTTTGGTTTCCTCAAATCCCAACAAAAGTCCCAACACGTGGTTGTGGGGCCTTTGCCTTTTTGTGACACCACTATAAATTTCAATTCAAACATTGTGGGTGGACATGTAAGACCTCCGCCAGAGGGACCCCCGACAAAACACGTGTCTCGTTTTGGGGCTACCCTTTTAGAAGGGGCTGACATACCCAAAAAGGGCCCGCATGTTTTCGGACTCATCCCGGCGTTGACTTTGGCCAGCACGTGTGTCCTGGGGATTTGGTTGGTGGCATTGGCTTGACCTGAAACCAGTTGCACCTTTGACCTTTGAGAGCTTCGCGGGCTTTCTCCCACCAACTTGAGATCAAAACAAGATGATGTTCCTACCATCTGGGTCAAAATGTTTGTTTTTCCCATCGGCTTGGTCAACAAACAAGGCGGTTTTTCCGACCATCTTGCCCAAAAACACGTTTAACTTTTGCAGCCCAGGTTTGGCAAAGCCAGCCCCGCGCGCTTCCGGCTGCATCTGCGAAGCTGGGAAACGTGCAGCTTTCGAAAAAGTTCAAGACGGCAGGCACTATCGAATCGACAGAGGAAAGCGATGACAAAGGTGTTGTCGACGCACTGAAAGAGGTAAACGGCGAGGACGGTGCCAGGCGCAATTCAGCCCAAGTTGTCAGGCCATTCGATAGCAGGAACCCCCACAAATCCACACATGCATCATGTCGTTTGGCGAGTTTGAGCATTGCGACGAGGTTGTGAATTTTGGCAAAGCGGCGTTCGACATGGGCAAGGAAGCCCGCAACGGCAACGTGGGGGACGCGCTGAACCAACTGCCAGGTGTTGTGCAGCACGGCGCGTCTCTTTGCGCAGCTTGCCTTTATTCTGAGCGGATTCTGTTCGAAGAAGTGCACCTACAGGATCGAAATGCCTTAAAATAGTTGCCGTATTCAACAAAGTACCCTTTTTGCATTTCCGGGTAGGTTTTAGCCTTTCGGCCATTCTGCAGCTGGCATTTTGAGCAGGATTCTTGCATTGTTTCTGTTGGCGGCTATCGCGGCAAAGCTGTCCGCCATTCCGGCGGTACTGGCGACTAGTAATATCCACCGTGAGCCGCGATCCAATTCCGGGCGTTGTTTTTCCGATTCCGGCTAATCTTGAAATGTGATGATGTCAGATTCCAGCTGACATTTTGGCCAAAAGAGTTCTAGGTATGTTTGCCTTGTTGCCTTGTTCCATCGAATCTTCCTCCGGAAAGTGAGCAACTGCACACCCGCATTGTTGTTTATTTGCTAGGTGCCAAGGTAGGGTGGCCAACAGAGCCGGGCGCTCACAGCCCATTGTTGGGCTCCGTGTTTCTTCGAGTTGCTCAGTTGCTCAGTTTCTTCAAGTTGCGAAGGCTACCTGTGCGCTTTGCATTGCTAAGGCTCAAGTGGCTGGTGCATTGGAGGCAGTTTCTGTGACGGCAGGTTGTGCCGGTGTGTCTTTGATGGCATACGTGGCATCGAGCGCTTTGAATGGAGAGGATACCGCAGGCGCCATGGAGGCTTGACCTGATTGAGGAATGCTTTGGCCTAAGTATGATTCAGGCTCATCGTTCCCCAGAATTTGACGCTTTTTGACAGGTTTGCAAGCTCGACTGTTCTTGGCCCTTCTTGCTCAGGATGCCGGCATGCAACAGTTGGCAGACAAGCTGCAACAAACGAAAGAAGACATCGAGAGCCAGATCACGCAATCTACCGCAAAGCTCCTGAACGCTGTCACAACTGTGGAGCAGCACTTGTCGCAAAATTCCCAGGAAAAGCGAGAGGACCGGATGGAAGATGTCGCAACCTTCGTCACCAACCTCAAGAGTGGCCGCAAGATGCCGAACTTTCCTTGGACATGCAAAAGATGAAGCACAGGTTCGACAAGAGCAGGTCTGCAAAACTACTTGCGGGACTTGAAGGGCGCCGGCGTCTCGCCAGATCAGATTTTGACTGCAGCGGCAGCCTTTCTTGCGACGCGCGCCAAAATCATGCTCCTGCAGGGTTCCGCAGCCGCTTGAGAGCAAATTTGCGCCCAGATGTGAACCATCATTCAGTAATTCTTCCCATTGCGCGAAAGTAAGGTGCAAAACACAGATGAAGTCAAGCAGGGCCGCCGCGGACTTCCAGAGCGACATAGAAGGTATGAAGAACCGTTGGCAAACTTTCAGACGTGGTCGAAGGGCATGAGCAATCTTCGCGACGGCCTGCCTGCTTTTTGTTTGCATCGGTTTGCGCACGCTCACACTCACATCACGGAACACGTTGTGGATTCAATGCTTGCGCGTTGCTTGGGGCATGCGTGCCACGTTCAGACATTTGTGCAAGACCGACAGGTGCCGACCGTTGAGAGATGTTGGTATGCACAGGGTCAGGCTGTTTAGGTAGGCGGTGCGCGTCAGTGTATGTGTGGCAGTTGAGTCTTCTACGGTCCCAGATTCAAAGCTTTCCAGGGTTGTAAAGGAACATAAGGAAAGAGGACATGTCATATAGTGCCCGCGCGGAGGCATGCGTAGGCAGTTTGAGCAACATAATCAGGGTCTTTCGCGTAGGCGCTGCGTCGGCTGGAACCAATGAGGTCAACATTTGCTTGTTGAATTAGTCATCGGGCTTTTGCATTACATTGTTGGCAAACGGAGGGTTGCGGCTCACTTGTTCTTTCTCGGGTCTCTTTGCTCTTCTCTTTCACGTTGCTTTTTTTCTTGTTTTTCTTTTTAGCCTTTGTCTTGTTCTTTTTTTATTCAAGTCAAATATGTGCTGTTTGCCCTTCCCTTTTTTGTACTCCCCATAGTTCTACTTTCATCGACTTTGCAGTGCCTGCTGCGTCAGCTCTGTCCAGAACAGCCGCTTTCCGCGTCTCTGCGCAGGCCCTGCCAGGGCATTCGCGTAAGCGGCCAGATTTCTGACCGGTCCCTTTCGCAGCCCAGGCTCACAGACTCAGACCGAGAATGCAGTGGCTTGAGAGATTTTGCTGTCTGCCATTATAGTGAGTATCAATCAGTTAGCACACGGCATTCCAACGTTGAGTGCTAACTGTTTGGGCGCTTGCGCAGCGTTTTTTCCCAAGCCGTGGTTGAGGCCCAACAGTTAGCACTCCAACTAGTCTGGCAGTCGGATTGTTCAAGGTCTTTGAAATAAGGCTTGGCATCAAAATAGCTTGACACACGGGCATTGGAAGGAAGGACGGAAGGAAGCACGGAAGCGAAGGAAGCGAAGGAAGCGAAGGAAGCGAAGGAAGCAAAGGAAAGGAAGGAAGGAAGGAAGGAAGGAAGGAAGGAAGGAAGGAAGGAAGGAAGGAAGGAAGGAAGGAAGGAAGGAAGGAAGGAAGCAAGAAGCAAGGAAGCAAGGAAGCAAGGAAGCAAGGAAGCAAGGAAGCAAGGAAGCAAGGAAGCAAGGAAGCAAGGAAGCAAGGAAGCAAGGAAGCAAGGAAGCAAGGAAGCAAGGAAGCAAGGAAGCAAGGAAGCAAGGAAGCAAGGAAGCAAGGAAGCAAGGGAAGCAAGGAAGCAAGGAAGCAAAGGAAGCAAAGGAAGCAAAGGAAGCAAAGGCAAAAGCAAAGGAAGCAAAGGAAGCAAAGGAAGCAAAGGAAGCAAAGGAAGCAAAGGAAGCAAAAGACGCAAAGGAAGGAAGGAAGAAAGGAAGGAAGGAAGGAAGGAAGGCAGGACGAGACTCAGAGCTGCGCAGGGTGCTTGCAGAGTTGCGCAGGGTGCTGTTGCAGGGTGCCATGCCAGAATCATCATTACTTCGAAACATCCTGGGTGGGGGGGGTTCAGCAGTTGCGCCGATGGATGCACCTAAGGGAGAAGCGCGCCCTTCGCCGAATAATGGGGGTGCATGCCACCTAAAACTGCTGCATTGCCATTTCAGTGAAGGGCAAAGACTGTAGTTAGGAGGAGCGCATTGGCAAGCGTGATGATCCGATGACACCAGCTGAGAAGGCGCTAGGGTCTGGCGTGTGCTAACTGTAAGTCAGTCGTTTGGCCGCATGTTGGGTCTTACAAGTTCAGCCTGAGCGGATTCTTGAAGCTTGCTTAGCCTGAGCGGAAGCCCAAGTGCGCTTGCGCTTGCGTTCGCACATGCCTGTGCGTGGCATCCCGAGCAGGATCCTGAAAGTCTTAAAGTTTGCCCGCCAAGGCCCCTTCGCGTGGCAGAGCTGGCTGGCGAGCCTGGCCGTTTTGGTCCTTTCAGCCGCCTGCGCGTTCCCGCGTGACAGGGGTGGTGGCGAGGTAGCGGATCGTTCATGATGCGCTTGGCCCGAGCGGGGTCCCGAGCGTGTCTGCTTGGCAAAAACTGTAGGAGAAGCGCGTTGGCAAGCGTGATGCGAACACTCCAGGCTGACACGGCCACAGGAGGCGCAAGCGGGTCTGGCGTGTGCTAACTGTATGGCTTCGGCAAGAGGGTCTGACGCCTTTGCGTGGCCTGGCCGTTTTGGTCCCTTCAGCCGCCTGCGAGTTGCATCCATAGTAGTTGGCCCGAGTGGTCCTTATCTGCGCCTTGGCGCGGCGCACGTGTTTGGCCCGAGCGGGATCCCGACTGTGTCTGCTTTTGGTCCTCACCAGCGCCTTTGCGCAGCGTCTGTGCTCGGCCCGAGCAGGATCCCAAGCCTCTCTGCGCGGCAAAACTTCGAGCGTGTTTGTGGGCTTTCAAGAGTAAAGCCAGAGCACGGTGTTTTTTCAGGATGATGGACTTGTCTTTTCTCGCGGGTAAAGCTTCCACACGGTGTCCTAGCCCAGCTTGAGTTCGGGACGGTAATGCGTTTGCGTTTGCGTGCAACATGATGCAACACTCGAACAAAGCAAGCTTCTTCATAATGTCAGTCGTTTACTACGGGCGCGCTTTCAAGTCGCAGGAGGCATTGCTTTAGCTGTGGAGAAGCAGGCTTTTAGGGGTGCAGTTGCCAGGCTTTTAGGGGCTCGTTGTTTGTGAATCCCCGAAGAGTCCTGGCTGACACGGCCAAGCGAGGTGCAAGAGGGTCTGGCGTGTGCTAACTGTATGGCTTACGCAAGAGTGACGCCTTTGCGTGGCATCCGCGTTCGCCCCGAGCGGGATCCCGAGCGGGATCCCGAGCGTGGCTTCGCTTGCCTTTGCAAGGCCCGAGCGGGATCCCGAGCGGGTTAGCGAGCCTGGCCGCTTTGGTCCTTGCAGGCGCCTGCGCGTTGCATTACACTCCCGAGCGTGACGGTGTTGGTCCTTATCTGCGCCTTGGCACGGGTTTGGCCCGAGCGGGATCCCGAGCGTGTCTGCTTTGGTCGTTACCAGCGCCTTTGCGCGGCATCTGTGCTCGGCCCGAGCGGGATCCCAAGACTGGTTGCGGGCGCGGCCCCGGCAAAACTTCGAGCGTATTTGTGGGCTTTGAAGAGTAAAATCAGGGCACGGTGCTTCGTCTTTTTCTTGCGGGTAAAGCTTTTACACGGGCCCAACTGTCCGCTGCGATAATGCATTTGCGTTTGCATGCAACATGATGCAACACTCGGACAACGTCGAACTTCTTGATGATGTCGTTGATTTTTCTACGGGCGTCCTTTCAAGTCGCAAGAAGCATTGCTTTAGGGGTGGAGTTGCCAGGCTTTTATAGGGGCCCGTTGTTTGTGACTATTGCAGTAGAGAAGCGGGTTGGCAGGCGTGATGCAAAGAGCCCTAGCTGACACGGCCAAACGAGGCGCAAGAGGGTCTGGCGTGTGCTAACTGTATGGCTTCCGCCGGCTTCCGCAAGAGTGACGCCTTTGCGTGGCAGCCCCGAGCGGGATCCCGAGCGTGGCTTCTCTTGCCTTTGCTTTTTCCTTGCGTGGCACCCGTGCTTGGCCCGAGCGGGATCCCGAGCGGGCAAGCGAGCCTGGCCGCTTTGGTCCTTGCAGGCGCCTGCGCGTTGCATCCATAGCTGGCCCGAGTGGACTCCCGAGCGTGACGGTGTTGGTCCGAGTCTGCGCCTTGGCACGGGTTTGGCCCGAGCGGGATCCCAAGCCTGTTGGCGCGGCCCCGGCAAAGCTTCGAGCGTATTTGTGCGCTTTGAAGAGTAAAATCAGAGCATGGTGCTTCTTCAAGATTATTGACTTGTCGTTTTCTTGCGGGTAAAGCTTTTACACAGGCCCAAGTGTCCGCTGCGATAATGCGTTTGCGTTTGGATGCAACATGATGCAACACTCGGACAACGCGAGCTTCTTGATGATGTCGTTGATTTGTGCTACGGGCGTCCTGTCAAGTCGCAAGAAGCATTGCTTTAGCGGTGGAGTTGCCAGGCTTTTATAGGGGCCCGTTGTTTGTGAATCCCAGAGCCAAAGTCAATAATTGTCAAGACAGCTATTGCAGTAGAGAAGCGGGTTGGCAGGCGTGATGCAAAGAGCCCTGGCTGACACTGCCAAACGAGGCGCAAGAGGGTCTGGCGTGTGCTAACTGTATGGCTTCCGCCGGCTTCCGCAAGAGTGACGCCTTTGCGTGGCAGCCCCGAGCGGGATCCCGAGCGGGATCCCGAGCGGGATCCCGAGCGTGGCTTCTCTTGCCTTTGCTTTTTCCTTGCGTGGCACCCGTGCTCGGCCCGAGCGGGATCCCGAGCGGGCAAGCGAGCCTGGCCGCTTTGGTCCTTGCAGGCGCCTGCGCGTTGCATCCATAGCTGGCCCGAGTGGACTCCCGAGCGTGACGGTGTTGGTCCTTATCTGCGCCTTGGCACGGGTTTGGCCCGAGCGGGATCCTGGCCCCGGCAAAACTTCGAGCGTATTTGTTGGCTTTGAAGAGTAAAATTAGAGCATGGTGCTTCTTCAGGATTATGGACTTGTCGTTTTCTTGCGGGTAAAGCTTTTACACAGGCCCAACTGTCCGCTGCGATAATGCGTTTGCGTTTGGATGCAACATGATGCAACACTCGGACAACGCGAGCTTCTTG